TTCTTGCTATAAATGGCTCCCCATCAGTCCGAGGCGTTTGCTGGGAGACCGGACAGCCTTGGCACTTTCGGGGACAGCCACTTTGCCAGTTTGGGCAGATGCAGTAGAGCAGTTTGAGCTATGTTTGGATTAAAACGGCAGTTCAGCGCTGGAGGTTGCCTCAACAGAAAGAACAGTACCTGCATTCAGCTGTGGCTGAGTGGAGAGACGTCAGCCTCGCTGGTCAGCTGTATTGTCTCCTTTCCCAGGCCATCGGTGCTTCCCACCTGCTGATTCATCCCCAGGGAGGAGAGAGAGGAGGTGGGCTGTCTGCAGGGCAGGCTTCTGGCCGCTGCTGAGAGGCAGCAAAACGGCCTTCCCCCCCCCACAGGGCCTCCTCCTCCCAAGTTCAGATTTGACTCCAGTACAATAGAAAGAAGTCACTAGATAGGCACTTGGCTAAGTTGCCTGATGCTCTCAGCCCTTTCCCAAGCCCCGGCTTTCCTCAACCAGCTCATAATGGATCGAAGTCTGGCTAGTAACTTTTCTCCCCAGAAGCTCAGAGCTTTGCACAGTTACTCACACACCCACCGTTCCCATGATCCAGTGGGAGGTGGAACTTGTCATTCCCACATTTTGGTAGAGGAATTCATTCTGGGAGAGATGAAAGGGGAGTGCGTGGGCAGCCCCGGGGGGGGGGGGGGCGGCGCTCAGCGATTTAGCGCTGCCTTGGGCCTGGGGCCTGATCCTGGAGACCCGGGATCGAGTCCCACATCGGGTTCCTTGCATGGAGCCTGCTTCTCCCTCCACCTGTGTCTCTGTCTCTGTCTCTCTCTCTCTCTCTCTCTCTGTCTCTCATGAATAAATAAAATCTCTAAAAAAAAAAAAAGTAAGAGGAGTGTGTGAGTCAGGGGTCTCACATGGTTACCCAAACCCCCATCTTTGATCACATTCATGGAATGATAGCTCCCAGCATGAGGTCCAGCTGGTCAGGTCAGTCCACATCTGTCCCCAGTCCTGGGACACCACCTTTCAGGAGGAATCTTGGTGAGCTGGAGTATGAGAGAAGAGAATGACTGGGACAGCCAAGGGTTGGACACCATGCTCAAGGATGAGCCACGAAGACTGTTTAAACTGAAAAAGGATAATACGAACCTGGTAGTGGGATTAATCTTGTGTTGTTCCAAAACAAAATGAAGATACATCTTCAGGTACAGGAGGAGGTCATGCCAAAGCCACATGTCCACCTCCCCTGGCTAGAGGCCCTCCACGTCTCTTCCACCTGGAAGACTCCGAGTCTGTGAAATGACTGCCTCGGATTCTGTAGCTGAGTAGATCCAGGGGCACCTGAGAGCACTATCCCCTCGCAGGCCAGCTGTACCGTATTGTGTCATGAGGAGAAGCATCATGACAGGCAACCTCCTTACTGCCCAAAAGAATTTATTGAATGTCTCTGGGTGTAGGGCCCACTGGGCAGCATCTGTTTATTCTTCTTAGATTTGTCCATATGGCAGGGCTCTGGGGTACAAGGGCCATCACCTTATGACAGACTCTCAGTGTGAATTAAAGAAAAGTTTGTGATTATGGAAAGCTCTGTGGCTCACAGTGTTCCCACACAGGGGCCCGGGATCGTGTTGTTCAGTGGCTCCTCAGAAAACCCAACCTCCCCCAAATCCAGATGGAATACATCATTCTATCAACTCTCTTGTGACTCCTGACTTTGGGAATTGATCTTTCCCTCCCCTGATCTCTCATAGCACTTGGGGTGATGATGCCAATCCCCACCTGTCTTATAGAACAGTTGGTTATATTTGTCTGACTCCTGAATGAGGCTATGACCTCGTTGGTGTGTTGTGTATAGTGGGGACGGTGAAGGTGTTTGTTTCTTCATCTGTGGAGCCCTCCAAGACCCAGCAAGGGCTGGCACAAAAGTAGGTGCTCAGCATGTGGGGCCTGGAACTCAAAGGGTGGGGGGAAGACTCGGGGACCCGTGCCCTCGAGCTACCTAGGGGCACCACTGCCCAGCACCCTTCTCTTACCAGCAGGTCTCTGCACCTGCCCAGGCTTGGTTTGGATAGGTAAAGGTGTGGTACTCAGGTACTTCCGGCTGAAGGCCCCATGGCGGGTGAGCTTCTGGGAGAAGAGGGTCCTTAGATGCTGGAAAAGGGACAAAAGCAAAAGACAAGTGTTGAGCACCCCAGGCACTAGGTCTGTGCTTGACATTGAGAGGAATGGGAACCTCATGGCCACCCTACAATCCCTCAGGCCTGTTAGAGGGCAGCTCCCCCTCAGGGGGCCAAAGCCCCACTGCAGGGCCACCTGCTTCTACCCTGGATGCCCCTAAGCCACATCCTGGGACCCTGAAAGCAGATAGAAGCAGCCCCCAGGCATTTCAAACATGACCCCCTCATCTTTATGTAATAAGAGCCCTGGAACATTTCTGGAGATGGAAGAGATGGGGTGCCTGCCTTCCACTGGCAGCTAGGCCACTGCCTCTTCTGCTATTTATTTATTGATTTATTCGTGAGAGACACAGAGAGAGAGGCAGAGACATAGGCAGAGGGAGAAGCTGGCTCCCTTCGAGGAGCCTGATGCCGGGCTCGATCCCAGGACCCCAGGATCTCGACCTGAGCCAAAGGCAGATGCTCAACCACTGAGCCACCCAGGTGCCCCCATCTGCTCTGCTATTTAATAGCTGTGTGACCTTGGGCAAGTCGCTTAACATCTATGCTTGAGAATCAGCCTTGTGCAACTAACTGCACAGTGGCCCAGAGGGTTAAATGGCTCACTATGTTAAGACAGTCCAAGTGTTTGCCATTATCACTGTTTTAGGTAAAGGCCACGCCTGGCAACCCCTCAGGGCCTCCAGTGATGTGGGCTGGCTCACCGGGGATGCCTTAGAGACCCATGTGAGTCAGGCAGGGAGGCCAGCACATTCCCCAGCTGCCTGCTGACTTGATGCATCAGGTCCTCACCCGGACTCTGTCCCTATCTGGCTGATGACCTTGGGCAGGTCACTAAACCCAAGTTTGCCTCTCGTTCGGCTTCCTCCTCCAGCGGAGTAAGCAAGGCAGGGCTCTAGGACACCTGACAGCACCTCAACAGCCTGGTTGTATCTACTTTATTGGATCTATAAAATGCATTCGCTTCCAAGGCCCATGACTTCATCCTTGAGGACAAAGTCTTCAGGGGCTTCCTTCCCACCTGGGACTCCTGGTGTCCCTTCTCTGGGAAAATGCCCATTGATTACAGGTCCACATCACAGCAGGCAGGTGTTGGTTCAGGGAAAGGCCAAGGGATTACGCCATGCCTGGAGTCTCCTTCAAATCAACAAAGCCCTGGAAGCAGGAGGAACCAGAGGCTCCCTCTCCACAGCCCAGCACACTCCTTTCTGATTCTGAAGCAGGATCACTTGCCGCCCTGTGGCCACCTGGGCAGGTGTGTCCTCCATGCACATAAAACCTGCCACCCTGGTTGCCAAGAAGGCAAGACAGAAAGATGTCCAGTGCCCTAGCGTCAGCAGACACTGGCCAAAAGGAGACCACCACACATTGTGGAAAGAGCAGAGGCCTGAAGTCATGCTTCTTCCTCATCCTGCTCTGGATGACCCTGGGCCAGTTGCACATCCTCTCTAAATGTTTCCTTAGGGATTCCTCTAGCAAAGGCAGAGCTCCGTGCTCTCCAAGTTCCCATCAGGGCTCAGGGTCTTTTTTTTTTTAATCAAAAAATTAAAAAAAAAATTTTAAGATTTTATTTATTCACAAGAGACACAGAGAGAGAGAGAGAGAGAAAGAGAGAGACATAGGCAGAGGGAGAAGCAGGCTCCATGCAGGGAGCCTGACGTGGGACTCGATCCCAGGTTTCCAGGATCAGGCCCTGGGCTGAATGCAGTGCTAAACTGCTGAGCCACGTGGGCTGCCCAGGGGCTCTGATTTTAATACTGTGGTTCTTGTGAGTGTGAGGGACATTGGGGCCACATTGTAGCCTATCTCTCTGCTCCATTTGCCTCCAGTGGTCTCCTCTATATCCTCAGAAGGGTTCAAAGGCCCACTCATTGCTGGTCTTGTGGTTGACCGCCCCAACCGCCGCCCCAGGAACCTGTGAAGACCAACAAGGGAACGTGTGCTTTGTTTGGTTCTAGACAGACCTGATTCAAATCCCAACTCTGCTAGTCCTAACTGGGTTAGCTTGGGGAAGCCACTTACCATCTGAGGCTCCCAGTTTCTCTTCTGTAAAATGGGAAAAATGATCTTTGGGGGCTGTCATTAAAGTGGAAAGTATATCCTGGTACATAGAGGGTGCTCAGTAAATGGCAAATGGGATTCTTAGGGAAGCCTATTTTGTGGATATGTCCTGTATGCCCCGTGAGTGACAATTGGCTGGGGCTCTGTTGTCTGGTGGCACACGTATGAAAAATGGTGGGTCGTCAAACACACTTATCTTTCATCATAAAGATGACACAGCCACAAGATAAGAGAACTGTGGCTTATCATTTGGCTTCAAAGGAATTTCTAAAAGAAATTCTAAGAGTGATTTGAGCATACCAGGCCATTGCTTTCCACACATGCCTCAGTGTTTGGCTGTTTTCCGCAATCTAATGCATCTTTGAGGCTTTGAGGTCTGTCACCGAGGCCTCTTGGAGTATAGTGCCAGAAGCTTGTCCCAGGCGCCTATTTCACATCTCAAACCTGTGTGCCCTCCCAGCAGAGCCCAGGTGGCTCAGCAAAGAGCTTCAGCTTGTGGCATGATGCCCACGGAGGTCAGGTGGTGCAGAGAAGCTGGGAGCCGGCCAGGGGCTCTGGCTGAAAGGTCAGGTTTCTGCTGACTTATCCTAGGACTCTGTGACTAAGCACATCGGCTGTGCCTCGGTAGCCACCAGGATGGGCACGCTGACTGCCCCTTGCGTATCTCACTGGTGAACCATGGGGTCAAGTATTAGCAAGGGGACTAATACTTGAAAAGGATTTTAATCAACCAGCACACGATTATTTTTTTATTTTATTTATTTATCCCCCCCCCCTTAAATAGTTGTTTATTGGCAGTGGGCTGGAAAGAGCAACGGAGTTAGCATGTACAGACAACACCACACACCAATGTCACGTGGGAGGCCAAAGTGATGGGAAAGAGCAGCCTGGAGCCCCAGGTGAGGCCCTGTCTTCAAGAGTGAGTGTGGGAGGGGGCGGGGCTGGAGTGTTGAGGGGGCAGCCTTAGAACACCTCGGCGGCTTAGTAGGCAGGGTTAGAGATGAAGAGGGACTCGCTGGCTGCAGCCCCGGCCTGACCACTTCGGGTGTACTTGCCTTGACAGGCGGGGCTGTTGGCCAGGGCTCGATGATACACTCCTCCTGGGCAGCCTTCAGGTTCTCCTTCTTTCCACCCTGGGCCTTTAGGGCAGAAGCCTGCGGGGCTGGGCCATAGGAGAAGGTCAGGGCCCATGGCTTCAGCCAGGGGTGAGGGGGTGGGGGTGGGGTTGGGGGGCCACTTGTGGATGTCCCTGAGGTTGATGGATGCCTCCTCCTCACTCTGGCCTTCAGATAGGAAGGTGATCCCAGTAACAGCGGGGGCAGTGCTGTGACAGTTGCCATGGCAATCTCCTCGTGAGAATATTTATGGGTGCAGGCGTGGCCTGGGGTTACCACATTGCGCTTCAGCAAGGTGCCTTCCTAGATGTGGTGGTCACTCAGGGCCTTGTAGACAGCAGCCAGCACCTTCTCGGTTCCAGACTGACCGCTTCAAGTCATGGTCCGCATCAGGGAGGATCTCAGGCTCCACAAGGGGCACGATGCCATTCTGCTGGCAGATGCTGGCAGAACGGCCCAGACGCTGGCATTTTTCATGATGGCAAGGCCTGAGGGGGTGTGTTCCCCACTCTTCAGCACACAGCCCACTTGGCACAGTCAGCCCCGTCCTTCCTGTACTGGGCACAGCGCTCAGCCCATCCAGCCCTTGGGGGGTAGTCTGGCCGTTTGATCCTGCGGGGAGGCACCCCACCCTGGTCCCCCTTGATGCCTAGGACACTGCCCTTGCATTTGATGACTTGGGGAAAGGGACGACTGTGGTCGTCCGGCGCAGTGCTCGTGGAATAGGATGGCCCCAAGGCAGCACAGCTGCGGGGAGGAGCGTCCGCCCTCCTCCGTGTTCTCTGCAGCCAGGATGCCCTTGCCTGGGGCGGCGCCGCAAGCCACGCTGGAGAGCTCCTCCCGGGCAGCCCGGGGGCCGTGGTTTAGCGCCGCCTGCAACCGGGGGCCTGATCCTGGGGTCCCGGGATCGAGTCCGGCATCCGGCTCTTTGCATGGGGCCTGCTTCTCCCACTGCCTGGGTCTCTGCCTCTCTCTGCCTCTCTGTCTCTCATGAATAAATAAATAATCTTTAAAAAAAAAAAAAGCTCCTTCTGCTCCGGGGTCAGTGCTGGGTGGGTGGGGGGGCATGTTGCAGCCAGTCCGATTTTTTTTTTTTTAAGATTTCTTATTTATTCATTTCAGTGAGAGACAGAGAGAGCACAAGCAGGGGGAGAGACAGAGGGGAGGGAGGAGCAGATTCCCCGCTGAGCTGGGAGCCCGACATGTGCTCCAGGGACCTGGAGATGATGACCTGAGCTGGAGGGGGAGGCTTAACCATCTGAGCCTCCCAGGCCCCCCAGCACATGACACCTACTGAGCCTAACGCTGATGGGGTTAAAACAGAGGATGCACAACTCACCTGTGCTGTTAGAGGTCAGCATGGTGGCAACACTTTGGAGGGTGGCTGGTGACCCGAAAGGGACGTGTGGGGCTTCTGTGGTCTGGAAATATTCTGAAATTTGATCACGGTGTTTTATATGAGTATGTGGACTTTGTGAAAATTCATATAGTGATCCCTGGGTGCCTCAGCGGTTTGGTGCCTGCCTTTGGCCCAAGGCGCGATCCTGGAGTCCCGCGTCGGGCTCCCGGCATGGAGCCTGCTTATCCCTCCAACCGTGTCTCTGCCTCTCTCTCTCTCTCTCTCTCTGTCTATCACAAATAAATAAATAAATCTTTAAAAAAATTCATATAGATATGTCTCCCTCTCCCTCTGCCTGCTGCTCTACTTACTCTCTCTCTCTCTCTCTCTTTTAAGATTTTATTTATTTATTCATGAGAAACACACAGAGAGAGAGAGAGAGAGAGAGGCAGAGACACGGGCAGAGGGAGAAGCAGGCTCCCTATGGGGAGCCCGATGTGGGACCCGATCCCAGACCCCGGGATCATGCCCTGAGTCGAAGGCAGATGCTCAACCACTGAGTGACCCAGGTGTCCCTCTCTCTCTTTTTAAAAAAGATTTTATATATTTATTTGAGAGGGAGAGAGATAGAGAGCATGAGTGGAGAGAGAGGTAGAGGCAGAGGGAGAAGCAGACTCTCTGCTGAGCAGGGGGCCCAATGTGGGGCTCCATCCCAGGACCTCAGGATTGTGACCCGAGCCGAAGGCAATCGCTTAGTTGACTGAGCCACCCAGGCGCCCCTATGTTATGCTTTAATAATTGAACTGGGCCAAGTGCGACTTGGGGCTATGAGTGATCTAAGCCCCTCTCAAAGGCAGCTCCTCAGGGAGGCTGAGACTTCCTGTTCACGCCCCCCTCTCAGGACACTTACTGTCCTAAACCTCCACCCACCGCCCACGTTAACACCTTGTTCCGTGTTCTTGTTAGCAGCTTTATGGATCTGTGGGTTCCAGCAAAACTGTTGACATCAACACATCGTACCCACATTGTGCAGGGGCTTCTGGACGTGCCAGGGGCAGAGCGAATGCTGAACAGGCTGTGGGAAAGATGAGCCCTTTAAAGGTGTTCCTGTCCCCCCTACCCCGCCCAGTACACCGTGACATCATTTCCTCCAAACACGATGCACTCCCACTAAAGCACTGTCCAGGTTCTGCACTTACCTGCCCAGGTGAGTCGATGAGCTCATCTGTGCTTTGAGGCAGTTGTCCTGGAAAGAGAAAAAAACACTAAACAACAAAGTGAAATAGAACGTGAGCCTCCCAGCTCCCAGTGAGGTTTTCACCTTGACCTCTACTCAGGAAGGGCCAGTTAGCGCCAGCGAATGACTTCAGACAGGGCGCCCGTGTGCTAAGATAAACATGGCCAAGCCCTTTAAACAAACACTGTGGGGAGGTTGGGCTGAGCGGTCAGAACATGCAACCAGACAGAGAGTGAGGCACAGAGTCCCCGTGAGGGGCTTGAATCTGCATCAGTCTTCATCTTGCCACCCGGGAGCTGTGCAACTAGGGCGACTGATATGCCCTCTCTGGGCCTTGGGTTCCCTAAGCCTGAAGAGGGAATTTGGTTGGAGTAATTCCTATGACCCCTGACAGGAGCGGAATGAAATCACCATGCCCATGTAAGGTGTCCTGAGTCAGGGTTTTACTGGTGGGCTGATTGGTTTTGTTTTGCTCTGTGTTGGGCCACAGGAGCGGAGAACAGAGCTAACCACACTCAGTTGTTGGCACACAATTATCATCCACAAAACCCTGGGCAAAACCCTTTCATGCTGGACATTATTATTATTATTTTATTTATTCATGAGAGACACAGAGATTGAGAGGCAGAGACACAGGCAGAGAGAGAAGCAGGCTCCACGCAGGGAGCCCGACGTGGGACTCGATGCAGGGACTCCAGGATCATGCCCTGGGCCAAAGGCAGACGCTCAACCGCTGAGCCACCCAGGCGCCCCTGGACATCATTTTACTTCCCTGCACCTCTACACTTTCAATCCCCTTCTCCTCAGTGGGCACCCACCACAATGCACTTGATATCTGTTCTTAGATGTGTGTGCGTGGAGACGTGTGTGTACCTACATGTCGACATGGAGACATATCCTTGTAAAATATGTAGCATCGTTAGGATGCGGATTTTTAATTTACGCAAGTTAGAGCGTTAGTTACTGTGAATCCCGCTCTGTTTCTTCACCCTACACCCTGTTTTTTACGATCTCTCCATGTGGCTGTGTGCACCTGTAGCTTGTTAATTCTTACTGATGCACAAATTCTTGAGTCTGTGACCACCGCATTGTTCTTTGCCTTTCCTCTGTTGATGGACACCTGGTGACTCACACGTTGTGTTACCACACACAGCACCACAGCGAACATTTTCACACACATCTACTTCAGAAGCCCAGAGTTTCTCAGGAACTGCTGCCTCATACGGTCTAGGTAACAGTCGCTGTCACTAGGGGTGGGGACAGAACAGACAACTGCACGGCGCTGGAGAGCTGCAGCCCAGGCCCGGGCCTGCTGAACCGCAGCACTGCTTGGCTCCTTGTCTGGCGCGGGCTCCAGATGCTGTTGTCTGGGGAAGAAGGCACAACTCGCACTGATTGGCTCCAGGTTTGAGAGCCACCGTGTCCTTCCTGCACAATGGTTTGTCATTAAATGCAATACAATTTACTAATTGATTGTCTTTCCTGGTCCTAGCCTACAAGTTCTTCAAGGGCAGGCCCAGTGCTTTCTCCCCCATGGTTGTACTACGCCCCAGGCCTACGACAGAGCACACGCAGGAGATGCCCTGCAGACACCTGCCAGATTTACTCATCAGTGAGGGAACTCGGGCTGTAAGGAGTAGGAACAGAGCCTCGGCAAGGCCGGGACCACGGTGCAAAATTTAAAAAGACCTTGTGTCAACTGCACTCACATAAAAAAAAAAAAAAGAAAATTAAATTAAAATTAGGGGTGCCTGGCTGGCTCAGTGGATGGAGCGTGTGACTTGGGATTTCAGGGTTGTGATTTTGAGCCCCACACTGGGTGTAGAGATTACTTAAAAATAAAAGCTTTAAGGACTTAAATTAAAATTAAAAAATTTAAGAAGGCCTTGTCCTCAGCTGTCAACCTGCATGTACACAACCTGAAATTAAGGGTCTCCCTTGCCTTGTTCTAGAGCTCACTCTGACTTTAGGCTTTTTTTTTTTTTTTTTTTTAAGATTTTATTTGTTTAGGGGCGCCTGGGTGATTAAGTGGTTGAGCATCTGCCTTCGGCTCAGGTTGTGATCCTGGGATCCTGGGATCAACTCCCACATAGGACTTCCTGCTCAGTGGGGAGTCTGCTTCTCCCTCTCCCTCTGCCCCTTCCCCCACTTGTGCTCTCTTTCTCTCCCTCACTCTCTCTCAAATCAAGTCTTTTTTTTTTTTTTTTTAAATCAGCACCTGGCAGGAATAGCATTTGTAGGAACATCCCCTGGGAACCTCTGTTCAGACTTCTAATGAGTCTGGTCTAGGTTCATCAAACTTACCCATCAGAAAGAGAGACGATGCTGTTTCAAAACCACCACCTCTCCCTCTGCCTATGTCTGCCTCTCTCTGTGTGTCTCAAATAAATAAATAAATAAATAAATAAATAAATAAATAAATAAATAAACAAATCTTTAAAAAATTAATTAAAAAAAAAAAGAAGACTACACATTTGTGCCAGTAAACACAGGGCCCTGGGGTTCCAGAGAAGAGCTGAGGCACCTGGGAAGCCAGGGTATAGGGTCTCACTGGGGTAAATAAAAAGAGCCAGAGAAATGCCTCCTTTATGGAGTAGGGGTCCCCAGCCCCATAAAGCAAACCACGTCAGTGAAGTTGTTTCCAGAAGCCAGAGAGGCCGCTGGGCAAGCGTCAGCCTTGCCCAGAAGATGAAAGATGTGTCCCTGCCCAACTAGACCCTAGGAAAGGCCATCCAGTCTCCCTGGTTGTCCTCATTCTTGGCAGGGAGGGGACTCTGCTGACACCTTTCCCCAGGGGCCCAGGGCCGGGGCGGCTCCCCGGCACCTCCAGGAGGTCCCTGTGCTCACCAGCCGGGATGGGAGGCTGTTTCTCTCCTCTCCTGAAACTGAAACCTCAGAAAAGCAGCCTTTCAGATCAGTAGGACCATCGTGACACTGCCATACCAAGGAAGCCTCATTACCCGAGAGAGAAATAATTATCTTTCTGCTTACTTCAATGTTCACTTTGCTGGAGAGAAATTCTTGTCGTTTCCTCCCCACCCATTTTTTTCCCAAACTGGACTTTCAGGCTCGGCGACTCTCTGAGAAAGTTTTTTGGGGTGTCCTTCCCTTTAGGTCCTATTCTCCTCCCACAGCCCCCACCACCGGCTCCCGTTGGTTTGTTTGTTTTCTTTGAATCTCTTCTTTGTCCCCTGACCTCAGATCCCTTGCCAGGTGGCCAAGCTGAAAACCGGTGCAGCCTCTGCTGTCCTTCCCCGAGGCCCTCCAGCTTCTGGAAGCAGCAGCAGCAGCAGCAGCAGCAGCAGCAGGCGATGCCTGGCCAGGTCCCCTCTAAGGGCCGTGAAATCTGTCCAACCAGGAAAACCCCAGCCTACGGCCAGCTCCCCACGCTTAGAAATGGTGCCAAAAATTGGTGTGTAACGTCGTTTCAACAGTGGTGACACTCACTTTCCTCTTGCGGCCCTCTAGCGCCTTCGGGCCTGTCCTGAAGGAGGTCCAAGTGTTCCCAGTCTCCGTGCCCGCAGGACTTGTGGACGTGGTTCAGCCCAGCTTGGTTACAGGGGCACGTAGCTGTGGCTCTCCTCCTCGGGAGAGAGCGAAACCACCGAAAACTGTGTTTTAAGAAAAAAACAATCATAAATTCACCTTTGTTTTTGTTCAAGTAGGTTTAAGCCCAACATGGGGCTCGAACTCACCACCCTGGGGTCAAGAGTCACAGGCTCTACCCACGGAGACAGCCAGGTCCTCAGTTTTGTTTTTTGTTTTTTTTTGCCAAAAGTTCAGCGATGACACCTATACTGATCCCCCTTCTTTTCTTCCTCCTCCTCTTCTCCCTCACTAATACTCTACTGGCCGTAGGGGGACCTCAGGAAACCTCAGTAGGATGCCAATCTTGGCAGATCTTCTGGGGAGGGGGTGGATTTGGTGCAACCCGGGGTCTGCAAAGTGCCACCCTATCATGTATTGTTAGTGCACTGTTTGCACAAGGAGCCAGCCAGGTCATTTAGACGCTAAATCTAGGCCTGTGTCTCCAGGGAGTGAAGGCCTGGGAAAGTGGGCAGAAACAAAAAAAAGGAGGCGGTTGCTTGGGGTTGGAGGGGCCATCGGTGTCCATGGAACCCAGCCAGCTATTTGGCCCCTTGGTCAGTGGCACCTTTGACCGCATTCCTCAGGGCCCTAAATACTGGAACCCTAGACCTTCTCTGTCTTTGAATCCAGCTCTTTTGGCTATCCTTCAGGCCAGGTGTTTTTTTTTTTTTTTAATTTTATTTATTTATTTATTCATGAGAGCCACACAGAGAGAGGCAGAGACACAGGCAGAGGGAGAAGCAGGCTCCAAGCAGGGAGCCCGATGTGGGACTCGATCCCGGGTCTCCAGGATCACGACCTGAGCTGAAGGCAGAGCTCAACCATTGAGCCACCCAGGCGGCCCTGGGCCAGGTTTTTGAGTCCCGGAGTCTGCCCACAGCCCTGAGGGTAGGGTAGGAAGAGGAGGAGCTGAGAAAGCAGGAGGGGACAAAATAGCTATTTGGGTTCTTGGGGAGAATATATTTACTTAGTTATTGGCAGCAGTTTGTTTGTTTTTAAACCTCAAACCCGCATGCTACCAGGTTTATACAGGGCGAAGCAGGAGTTGCCCTCCCGATCCCCCAGCCGCCAGCCAGCACACGGGCACAGGGGAGCAGGGGCGCAGGGGCACGGGGGTGCATGGGCACAGGGGCACACGGGCACACACGCACATGGGCACAGGGGTGCACAGGCACATGAGCACATGGACACTGGGGCACAGGGGCACACGGGCACACGGGCACAGAGGCGCACGGGCACACAAGTACACCTGCACGCCCAGCGCCCCACGCAGACACAGCCAGCGCCAGCTCTAGGAGCCCTGGTGCGGGGACCTGCTCCAGCCACCAGCTGCCACCACCTCTCCCTTGTCGGCGCTGCCACTGCCGGGCAGGTGAGTAACCCAGCGGCTTCCTGCCTCGCTCTGGGTGAGGTCACCTCCCGGGTGCCAGAGGGAGGGAGGCGACTGATTGACGATGGTGCAGGCTGTCCCTGTCTGTCCCGTGTGCCACTAGCCCTCTTCCCGTGGGAGAGGGCCGAAAAGGATGAGCGCTCTCATGACCTGAGCAAGTCTCTGCACTGGGGGTTCCTCCCAAGCACGGGGCTCATGGGGGCTCCCGAAGGCAGATAGGCCTGGAAAGGGCACTGGACTCCGAGCCCATCGATCGGCTCAGGGCCACTAATCGAGGTCCTCCTGGGTGTCACCGTTCACACACGGCGATGTGGCGGAGATGAGAGAAACGAAGTCCCAGGAGCTGGTGTGCGGGTGGACCGGTGGGCGCAGGAAAGATGGGCAATGATCTTGGAAATAAGGTCACAGCCAGACGGCACACAGGACAGGGTGAGCCCACGGTTCTGGAAGGATGGCCGCGGATCAGCAGACTTGGGGCAGCTCTAGTCTCCCGGAGAAGCCACCTGCCACCTGGGACAAGGCCCAGACGTCACTTTCTTCTATTGCACAGTGAAGGTGTCAGGCCAGGTCACCTCACGTCTCCTCTCCATAGAGACAGCACACAGGAAGTTCAAGCGGGATGTTCTATGACTAACTCTTCCCAGAATCCCTTTTCTGTGGTTACAACCTCTAGGAAGGGAGATCTTTGTTAAAATCCCTCATCAAACAATGGTCAAAGGTCTAGAGAACACGGAACAGCAGGAAGAGGAACCCAGCCTCGAAACCAATGCCTTCTGTATCACTCAAATTGGCCTTGTGCCCTCTGGGTCTCTGCTAAGAGCCCAGGTGGGAGGAAGGGCAGACGGTTCTCTAGAATTTGAGAGCCCTGGACAGCTGGGCTCACGCAGCCATAAATCATGGGGGGGGGGGAGGGAGGAAGAACCCCAGCTGCAGCACACCTGTTGGCAGAGGAGTCCACGTGTCGCATCCCAGCTACACCAAGCAAATCCCCTTGGCATGGCTGTGCTGCAAACAGGACCAGCAGATCTGGTTTTCCGAGTGCTCTCAGGGCCGGCCCGAAAGGGGAACTGAGTTCAAGTTCCACCGAGAAAATCCTGCTCTGCAGAGAGGACCAGTTTAGCCCTTGAGAACCAGAGGTGGGAGGAAGGAGTGGAGACGAGCTTTACCTTCCCCTCCCCTCAAAGCGCAGTGACTCATACAGTTTCTTTCTTTTTTTAATTTACAGGTTCACATGTCACCTAGAAAGCGGGCACAGTGCCTGGGGGTCTGGGACCCTGGGCTCCTGGGACTCCAGCAGGTGTAGCGTTGTGAAATTCAACCCACTGAGGTTTTCCTGTCTTGGCTGGATGGGAATGGCACACACCTGACAACACAGAAGTGGTAGGGCCTCTATTTTAGGGGGATGGAGGGCTCCCTGGAAACCTCCTTTCCTGTCTGATTCATGCTCATCCGCAGTGCAGGAGGCTTAGGAACCGTGAATGACATATGAGCGCAGGCAAGCAAGCCGGTCAAAGGGACTCATACATCACTGCTCCTGTGACATCCAATTATTCACGCCATTGAGGCTTGTGACTCTTCTCAGGGAACCAGGACGGCTATAGACAGAGGCAGCGTGTAGGGGTGCGAGTGGGGTTGAAATAAATGAAGAGGCTGACAGCATCAAACCTCACCACCTTCAGGCTCTGAACCTGGGACTTGCCATTGCAGGAACATTCTGGATCAGATGGGTCTGCACACAAAGAGTGGGGCACTCGCTCGGAGGCTGTGGGTGAACCTTCCCCACTTTGTACTTCTTTAAGGAGGGGTGGGTGGGCAGAGTGGAAGGAGTGGGGGCTGAGGGGAAGAAGGGACAGCACTGACCTCCAAACATCTGTCATTTTCCTGCCAGGCCAGGACTCTTGGGAATTCGCCTGACTCCCACTGATGTCAGAGCTCCCCATGGCTTCCTGTGTGTAAGCCGCACGGAGTTCTTGCCTCTGCACTTCTGCCAGAGTCATTCTCATTCCATGACAAATCCACAGCGAGGTGGGAGGTGGGGAGGTACCAGCAGATGCGCTTGCGCTCTGGGAGCTTGGCTGAGGTTTCCAGAGACAGGCAGAGAGGCCTCCTCACACTGCCTCTCCGTCCAAGCCACTCTCACTTACTGTGGGAAGATAAATGGTGGGTGCTGTTCAGGCCTGGGGTGCCAGGGACATCTCAACTGCCTGCAGACTCTCACTATGACCATAGGTGGGAGGGATCTTGGAGGGGTGGCTGGTGGGCCCTGGGATGTGTCCGGTGCTTGCGTTCGGCCTGGAGGTAAGTGTGGGGGCAGGTTTACACATTGCGAAAAGTTACAAAATCAGTCCTTCCCAATTCTACCCTGAACCTCTGCTCCCGTGTCTCATCTTTGCAGTTATGCCCTGTAGAGGGGCTGTAGCAAAATCCCTTCCTAAAGCTGGGGATGGAGGGATACCTGTGCGAGGGCAAATGAGGGGGACCAGGTGAAGGGCAAATAGGACCCTTCCATTTCCATCACCTCTCACCCCAGCAGCCCAGGGTCCAGGCAAAGAAAATCACCCTGAGCTTGGAACTGGCCGGCTGCCTCCCCACTCCCCCAGCTGCCTGGAGATCCCACTCAGCCTCGAGGGCCCATTTCAAGGGTCACTGGCTCTGGGAAAGTTGACCTGACCTGCACTGAGGTGGAGGTGACCCAGCCCTCTTTCGTGGTGTTTCTCCCAGCAGCAAAACACACCTCCGGGCTCGCTGTCACTCAGATTAGACAATCCCTTTATGTGTCCCTCTCGGACTCTGTTGGCTTCTTGTACTACTTTGTGTCCCTGGCACTTAGCTCAGTGGGCACCCAGTGCCTGATTTTTGTGTGAGGAGCTTTGCAAACAAGGGTCATGGAGGAAGGGGCACCCATTTAGAGCTTGAGATTCCACAAATGTCATTCTCTGGTGGCATGACTCTGGGAGAGCCAGTGAACTTTTCAGAGCCTCACCTGTTAAGTGGAGAGATGCCCATCTGGGGATAATGATGAAAGTGAAATAGAATAATGTTAAGCACAACAATAAAACACTACCATTGAGTGCCAGCCGCATGGCAGGCACTGTGACCAGTTGGAGAAATCTAATATCAAAGAAGAGGCTGGCATGGATAGAGCTCTAGGAATACACCTGCACCGGACGGTCCCTGGCAGGTGCTTGGGACGGAGTACCATGTTCAGTGTGTGCAACCTAAAGGCGTGGGGTCTGGAGGCCAAAGCTGACCCAGGAGACCCATGAGAACCGAAAGCTGGGGAGGCTCCTGGCACAAAGCTCTAAGGACGACAGCAAGCCACTAAGAGACGTCTCTTTGTCTCCTCCCAATAGCTCAGGAAAGCACTTCCTTGGGATTAAAGGAAGGACTGGAGACTTTTCCATTTTATAATTAAAAGAGATTATATGATATTAAAGAAATGCTTTCTGGAACCTACAGAAAGGACTAGAGATAGGTTAATCTTGCAGCTAAAAGACATTAAGAGATATTCCTGAAAGAGGCAGCTGGGTGGCTCAGTTGGTTGAGCGTCAGACTCTTGATTTTGGTTTTGGGTCGTGGTCTCAGGATCATGATCTCAGTGTTGTGAGATTATGCCCCGCATCAGGCTCTGTGCTCCGTGTGGAGCCTCTTGTCCCTTTCCTTCTGCTCCTCCTCTGTCTCTCAAGTAAGTAAAAATAAGTAAATAAGTAAGTAAGTAAATAAATAAATCTTTAATAAAGAGAGAGAGAGAGATTCCTGGGAAATTTTGTCCTGAGGTTCTGAAACACGTAGCAATGCCCTAAGCCTTTGCTGGTGGCAAATTTAAAAACGTATGTTAAGGGATGCCTGGGTGGCTCAGTGTTGAGCATCTGCCTTTGGCTCTGGGCGTCATCCCGGGATCTGGGATCGAGTCCCGCATCCGGCTCCCTGTGAGGATCCTGCTTCTCCCTCTGCCTATGTCTCTGCCTCTCTCTGTGTCTCTCATGAATAAATAAATAAAATCTTAAAAAACAAAACATGCGTTAAAATAAAATAATTTCTACATCAGTCAAGCACTGATAGAGTCACAAGGAGAATGAGAAAAATATTAAAATAAAATATTTTAAATATAATATTTAATAATAATACTATTTAATAAACGGAAATACATTACCTAGTTGGTGGTACTCAGGCTTTTCCTCTGGCCCTTAAAGAGATGTCTATGGGCCTCTAGCTTGGTTTATGTTTGAAGATGATCCCTTGCAGCTGTACCCAGAGGAAGCTCAGGCTGCAAGGCACCGTGTTCCTGAAAGAGTTACCCACAGCCGTCTCTGAAGCAGGCTACCTTCGCAGCCTAGTCCTTCCCAGGGAAGAGGGGTGTCAAATGAGGAGCCGTGCTCCTACAGAAGCTACGCCAGTGTTCCTGATAGATTTATAAATCTCAGAGATTCCGTGCGTTTGCAAAAGCTCAAGATGCTCTTATTCCCATCCTTGGGCTTAGAAGAGCTGGGCCTTTCCCAGTGGTCCTCAGGGTGATGGGGTGGGGAATGGGTCAGAGCCTCCTGGAGAGCTTGGTAGGAAAGTGCTTGCCTCTTCCCCACCCCATTCTGAATCTGGAGGGTGGAGGGGACTGGCCTTGACGGAGGAGGGACTCACTCTCCAACTGCCTAATGACTTCCCACCATCCCCCCAAACCTGCTCCACACACACATTTATTTCTTATTTTTCAGAGAATGGGGTCTGCAGTTTGCCAGCCCTGGGTTTTAGTCCACATCCACCGCTTGCCTATGGCTCATTTTCCTCATCTCCTGACCCTTGTGGACTGGTGGGGAGGGTGGTGTGGGAGACTGTAGGAGGCCGCTTTGGAACAGCCCCCAGTGAGGGCACTGGGCCGGGATGACGGAGAACTGTCTGGGGGGAAGCGAGTCCAGTCCCCTGGGACCCATCTGCAGTGGGGACCAAGTGCTGGGCAAGTCCTCAGATGTGAATCCTTCGTGAGCCTGGAACCTGCCTAAGGGACCCACAGAAAACCCCCAAAGCTGGTGTGGCCCTGAGCAAGCTTTAGGGTGACCCAGGACCGAGAAGTTTCCTGGGACGTGTGACTTTCTTTGTTCAAAACCGGACAGTCCCAGGCAAAGCAGACAAGCTGGTCAAGGTAGCAGCTTTCTAGCAGCTTTTGTCTTGCCCTGGATGTGGCCTGAAGAGGGGGCGGGGTCAGCCATCTAGGATAAACAGGGTTCATTAGGACATTTTAAACCGCAGATGATCCCAAATGTGACCCTGCTGCCACCAAGGGCCCCACAGGGCTGGATGGGGGCAGGCTGCTGGTCTTCTTGGGGAGGAGGACACTGGGGCCTGGGAGGGAAGTTAGTTGGCCTGCTCTGGGGCACTTCTTTTCTTTCTTTCCCTCACTTTTTCATTTAAATCACTACCTGAGGGGGAGGGTGCCTTGGGACAACTGTGTAGAAGTGTCACCACCCCCATGGGGTGCTTCCTCTGGGGGGCCGTGCACATGGGTGGAAACAGGTAGCCCAGTCCTGGGCAGAACCCCGCCCAGGCCCTATTTGTCCTGGCCTTCACCCGCTTTGTCTACAGCCAGATGTTTAGCCTGGGGAGTGGGGGCCAGCAGGCCTGTGGGTGGGGATTGAGGCCCCCCTGCCCTTGGAGGGGCGGCTCCCTCCCTCCCGCAGCCGCCCCCCCCCCCCCCCCCCCCCCCCCCCCCCCCCCGCACGTGCTGCCTCCCTCACCCCTTCACCTCCCCAGCAAAGCACCCCCTTCCTCCCTGGATCTCCATCCCACTCTCATTCTTTGTTTTTACCACTTCCTGTTTTCCTCCATCCTGATGCCTCAGGTCCCTTGCCCCGGGCCTATTCCCTGCCTCAGAACTTCTTACATGTTTAACGGAAAGAAAACCTTTCACATAGGAAATGTTATCTTTTCTTCTTTCCCCCTGGGCTTCTGAGTCCCACAAAGCTGGGTGCTGGGTCTTGCCTGTGGCACACTGTCTCCTGAGCGGGAACCTAAATATGTGTTCAAAGAATATACCAATGCAAAAAAACAAAAACAAAAAACAAACAAAAAAAGAATATACCAATGCAAAAGAAGATTTTTTCTTAAAGATTTTATTTCTTTATTCATGACAGACAGACAGAGAGAGAGAGAGAGAGAGAGAGAGAGAGAGGCAGAGACACAGGCAGAGGGAGAAGCAGGCTCCACGCAGGGAGCCCAACAGGGAGCCCAACGTGGGCCTCGATCTCCAGGATCAGGCCCTGGGCTGAAGGCGGCGCTAAACTGCTGAGCCACCTGGGCTACCTCAAGAAGACTGTTTTTAACAAAGGTGGCATGTGGTGACACATGAGAAGAGAGAGAAGGAGAAGGGGTCGTTCAAACTGCTAATTTTTTTTACAAATTCCTTCTCTTAAACATTTTGAGTGTGGGCAGGCCCCTTAGGCAAGTGGCGAGTAGCCTCAGCTCCAACGTCCAGGTCACCTTGAGGGGTGACTGCAAGGAGGGCCTCCTGGCCTCCAGCTCCTCAGAAAGTCCCATTCACACAGGGAGCAAGATCAGGAAGATTAGAAGCAAGAAAGTGGGACGAAGGTGTAAGTTTAGATGAACCTTCTCTATCGCTCCATCTAGCCAGCATCTGTGCTTTGTCCGCCCTGCCCCAGGAAAAGCTGATTTCTCCTCTAGAATTCTGAGGAGGGGACGAGGAGGAAGGAGCTAATTTTATTGAGCATCTACCATGTGCCAAGCACTTTACATAAATTATCACACTGATAATTTATAATTCATAAAAATCTAGTTTGATCACACTATTCCTTTTTGGAGAGAATGAAGTTCAGTAACTCTCTTAGAGACGCCTGGCTGGCTCAGTGGGAGGGGTATGTGACTCTATCTTGGGGTCATGCATTCAAGGCCCATGTTGGATGTAGAAATAAATTTTAAAAAAATAATAAAAATTAATTAATTAATTAATAAAAATAAAATAAGTAAAAAATAAAACTTA